GACAGAAGTGAACCGTTGTTCCCCGACAGATCACCGGCTGGGTGTTCCAGCAAGACTCATTAGGAAGTTTTTGGAGGGACCTCCTGAGAGGGCAACCTACGAGCTTCCCCTTCCGCGGTACCTTACAACGTTAGGCTCTATTCGTTCATGAAGAACTCCCGGATTTAATGTAAATAGGTTTGCTTTGATAGAGCTGCCCAGGTGCTAGAACTCGAAATATCTATCTCGCAACTGAGACGATCTAGTCCCCTTTCACCCCTTCTTTCGCCGTTTATTCCTCTTCTTCCTCACATTCCGACCGTCAAAGATGATAGTAATAGGGAAATGGTGCGCTACCTATGGCTAACCATTTGTTGATTATACAGCTTGACTATAAAAGCTCTCGGGAACATTCAAGAGGGCAAGTTGCTAACTCTCTGTTGACCTACCGTACCCCATTATCTATAATCAGCTACCGTAGTCGGACGAAAGCCATTTGTAGTTGGTGTTGGGGGAAAACTCTTAGGGCATAATTCATAGGTCCCTGGAGAACGAGGATTTGACTGCATAAAGCTATATGAAGAGATGTGTTATGCGCGCGGAGATGATTGATGGCGGGAAGGCGGCCTTCAGAAGCTATCAGAGACAAAAGGAGCTCGACTCACCCCGCCATCCCTTTCAGTAGGCTCGGCTGATGATGATCACTGAACGAAAAGTGAATAAAGTTTAATAAAATTGAAAGTTATTAGTGAAAAAGAACGGCAGCTTCGCGAATGACCACTGGAGAGAGCTACAGGTATGAGCCTCTTAAGCCAACAGGAATGGGCTTGATTTTAGCTGCCATAGAAATAATTATATGTGGATCAAAGCTGAGACTACGAAGAGCTATTCGCTCAATTTGAGACCAAATTTTCCTTTTTGAGGTGTGGTTCCAAAACCGTCGGATGAAGGATAAACGCCAGAAAGTTGGCGGAATCGCCTGGCCACTGATCCCCGTTCAGCTTATGACATGTGGGCGAAAGACGGGCATTCGCGATATCCGCAGGTGAGCAGCGTCACTATTTCAGCTCTCTCAGAGGAAAGTCTCATCTCAGATCTGTGCTGGGTTGTGTACTTTAGTCAGTGAAATGTCAAAAGATGTAGTGTAAGGGTAACTCTCTAGAACGTTTAGCGAGAACTCTTCATAACCTTCAATCTATCAAAGAAAACCATGTAGGCTTCAATTCGAAGCGTTCTGGCGCTTCACTGAGTGTTGCCGAATGAATCCATGAGCCGTACAATCGAGAGTTTCCCAAGGGCGGTACAGAATGAAAAACATCACCGGTGGTGTTAAATCACTACGTCACGACAGATTTACAACAACATGCCGCCGACGAAGCACGCGCCTTGCGACAACAATAATACGCAACAACGCGGCTTTGAACTTTCCGGCTAACCTGGGGTCATCTTTGAAACTTACCATTAGTCGGGCTCGTTAATATTTACACACGTCCACATACGGAACACTGATTTTTCTCTTGAGAAGCTTAAACCCATTTGCCTACTCCCCTCCACCCATCTGCACGAAGATCTATTTAGTAGACAGCAAGTTACGGTGTTTCCTCGCCCACAGTTTTAACTTGGAGGCAGCAATACAGATCTGGTTCGCCGACGTGTTCTTTTGTTCGACGTCCAGTTTACAGGGATCATGAGGGAATGATGTCGTCTGTTAGTCGGAGGGGCTATTAGAACTAGGCCCTTAAAGATGGCAGTAACCGCGCTCAAGCAATTCGCACGCGCCCTTTCTTGTACAAGAGTCTGACTCTAACAAGGGAGGTCTTTCAGGTCGTGGCGCGCTTTTTGGAAATGGTTTGTTGCTTGTTGTAGGGGTCCATACAAGGATCTTAAAAATGGGTTTCATTTTTGCTATGCATTTCTGAGAGGTCAAAAACTGTGAAAAGAATTTGACAAGAATGGGCGATTTTAACTATCTTAATGGGCTCCGTTCTGCTTGTAACTTCGAGCATGCATAGTTTATGAGGTGGTCACTAATTAGGCCTCAAAATAGATTCGATTAAAGTCAAAATGTAAGTATCATGTGGTAACACACTTGGCATGCACCGACGCAAGTGATGTTTTTGTCAGCGGTCCCCTCATGCTCACTGTCGGCGGATCGGATGGCGCAGCGGATAACTCGATGGATTCTGGATGGGACGACGTTACGGGACTGTGTGGATTGGGTCCTTCTTGTCAAATATTTTGCATTTCTCAGCTTTCTATTCATTCCCGGAAACAGGCTTCTTCACACAACCGAGCTGGTTTGTAAGGTATCAGAATGAAGAATATGCCTTCAAATGGCACTGCTTGGCTTATTTCCACTGCTAGACACACAGGAACGCGAATGAGTAGAAAGCTGAAATGCAAAAAACTTGCCGCAAGGAGGGTCCAATACACACAGTCCCGTAACGTTGTCCCATCCAGAATCCATCGACTTATCCGCTGCGCCATCATCCGCTGATATGAGCAATGAGGGACAATCCTTACTTTTGAACTTTATATAAGACTATTTCCGAGGCTTCATTAACTAACACCTCATAAATTATGCATGCTCGAAGTTATAATCAGAACGGAGCCCTTTAAGATAGATAAATGCGCCATTCTTGTCAAATTTTTCACTCAGTTTTTGACCTCCCCAGAAACGCATAGCAAAAATGAAACCCATTTTTGTGATCCTTGTATGGACCCCTACAACAAGCAACAAACCATTTCCAAAAAGCGCGCCACGACCTGAAAGACCTCCCTTGTCAGTGCTCTTTCGTGGCTGCAATAGGATTACGGAGTGCGAAGTGGCCCCATAAGTACAGCTCTGATCTCCTTATTTCACCGCAAATCAAATTCATCACACTTTTTTCTTGCATTGGTTCAGCTTCTACACGCGTTGTTTTTCGTTTATTTTTTCTTGTAAGAACTATTAGTAGCATTGGGTGTGACGCGACGGAACGACTAGAACTAGATGCGGGCAGATATCGATTAGCTTGGCACAAACAGCTAGTTTGAGAATCGTGCAGTGATGCTACCGGGCGCCCTTAGGGCGTTCTCCATGAGGCATTTGGCTTCTATTTCTCTGAAAGTCAGCTAGTAACTATAGGCAGTCATTGAGCGCTTACTAACCACAATATGCAGTCGCGTGGTTGTCTTCAATCCCGTGTTACTTGTTTTGTCGTGATATTCTAATGTGTTTGTTGCTCAGCGAATTGTTTCTGGCGTTTCTTTTTCTGGGATTAGGACACATCCGATTCTCCTTCTTTCTCGTCTCATAGAGTATTTATTAAAGAGCAGCAAACATACATATTTTGCCTGCGATAACTCTATGTAGAAACTTGGTTTTGCGTTCTGGAAGGCGTTTGTTCTCAATTAACAGACGTCAGTCAGTCATCGATCAATTGCCAATATCCATCCGTTTTGCCAGTCCGATCATCGATGTTGGGAGAGGCAGTAGATATCGTTTGAGAAGTCTTGTCCTTCCCTCCACCCACGATTACCACAGCAAGGTGAATCCTTGTGAATGGGTAAACTAACGGCAGTGCCTGCGTGAGTTAGCAGAAACTACAAAGTCATTAAGAACTGAGTCGGAAACAGACCGCGTGCCTCGTACGAGGTTTTTTGGCGCCATTGCAGTTCTTCTGGAAGATGGCAGTATTCATGCGGAAGTGATAGTGGGATTTTTCTGGAAAGGTGAGCAGTGAACGTCTAGGCGATGGGAGAGAACAACTTTGAAGAAAAAAAAAAACTAATACTACTCGATAACATTTTGAAGGTGGTGACACGAACGCATAAGGCCTTCGAAGAAGTGTTTTCTAGGTTGACCCTGTTTTTCTAAGAATCTTTTCGGAACTACATATTCTGCAGTAATATCAAGGCCTTCCGGAGAGCGAGAATCTCGATCGGTTGCAGCATTTCGTCATGGTAGACAGACGTGACTCTTCCAGCCTGTCATCATTTGGTTGATGAAACATTTCTGGCCTCTGAAGACGACTAATTTATAGAAAAACTGTGCGGCCTCGGATATGAGTAAAAGTACCTCCAAAAACTTAGTGGAGGTACAACATAGTGAAAACTTGCAAAATGACATGCCGGGGTAAAAAGATGAGAAGCTTGAAAATGAAGAACCATTGTCTGTGAGTGGGATGAGGCGCAAGCCCTAACAAATCTTTTCGAATTGCAAAAAACTTACGGCTACGGGGGGTGTTGCATTCCAAGATCGCTGGCATATTTGAGCAAAGTTTGGATCGCTGCATGTTGAAGCAAGGGCTTGGCCTTCCGAGGATCGCTGCATGTTGAAGCAAGCCTTATCAATACAAATTTCGTGCAAAAAACCAGAGGCGGAAGGAAGACATTCCTGGTTTGCTTGACTCGATAGCTGCAGTAGTTTTTCCCCCTGATGGTAATGTTTTACCTAATGTCAGATGTGCAATTAATCCCATTAACTGACATACTCATAGATTTGACAGAGGTGTAACAGTTCCCTGCAGAGTTTCATCGCCTTTTAAGAGACGCCACTGTATTATCGAGAAAGAAGGGTCAACATAGGGGTTGTGCTTAAACGAGAAAGTCCTGACCTGAACATAGACTGGTATTGTAAAATCCTAGAACCGAGAGACATGTCACGCGACGACCAAAAAATGGGGCCTTTCCCTTTTCAAGTAGTCCTCTCCGCAATCTCAGAAGCTGTTCCCTCTCGAGATTGCATGGTGACTGAAAGAGGTGCTGTGGCCGTCAGGAGTCGAAGACCGTAGGAAGACTGATGGTGATGGGAATTCGGTATTCGCAGCTCTACCGATCTTGCGGAATTCGCACCCTGGGTTATTATTGGCGATAGGGACAATGAATCATGTCGTATACAGCACCCGAAATAAACTTAGAACCAACCAATAGAATGGGATTCTTCAAATGCACTTAAACGTTTTTATCAGAGTCATACCGACAAATAATCACAAAGGCTAGTAGAGAGAGCCTCAGTCAACGAGGTATGATGTAGACCAGCTGTATAAGGTACTGACACAAGTGTGACGCGTTCTGAGCGTCGGGCAGCGTCAGCGACTTGGAAAGCAATGATATCGATCCTGCGTCTGCCAGCGTCCACCAGCGTCTGGCTCGAGAGGGGCTCGATGGCTTGTAAAGTATAGGTATCGATCTAGCGTCAGCTAGAGTCTATAAGAGTGCACCAGCATTCAAGAGCGACCAGGAGTAGGTAGTATGGGGAAGTAGGAGGGTAGCAAGCAGCTGGATTAAGTGTCGTGAAATGGAAGCGTGTGTAGCCGCACCGCGCAACTGCTAAAGTTTAGAATTATGCAAGTTAGTGCACGGTGCAGTGTAGTTGTACGGTGCAGTTGCACACGCCGCAATTTCACGACGCCTAATCCAGCTGTTTGCTACCCTCCTACTTCCCCATACTCTCTACTCCCGGTCGCTGGTGAACGCTGGTAAACGCTGTAGACGCTGCAGACGCTAGATCGATACCTATACTTCCCTAGCCCTCGAGACGCTGGTGGACGCTGGCATGCGTTAGATCGATGTCTATACATTCCTAGTCCTTGACGCTGCAGGACACTCGGAACGTTAGTGGTCGCTGGTGGACGCTGGTAGACGCTGGCGGACGCAGCTGCAGGATATGAACGCAGCCTGTACGTGCCAGCGCGCAAACTCAACATTGCTGAATGAGTCTTTGATTATAAGAAGCAGTTTGAAATTTAGCTAACTGTTCCATTTTTCAGCCCAATGCTGCCACATCGCGTCCGCGATGGCGTTCAGTGAGGTGACATGGTGAAAACTCCGCAAAACGACATTAGCGACGATGACAAACCGATTACTATTGCAAATGCCCTCGAGCTTACAAATTCTACGTCCTCGTCGTCAGAGTCGACCTGACCCTTCGACTCCTTTCGAGTGCTGAATGTAAAAATGTTGTTTATTTTCCTTGTACGATTACGGTAGTGGCTACTCGGTCTCGAAGCGCTTCTCTATTGTACGATATGCCGACGTTGTCGCTGGGTTGTATTGCGAATT